TTTAGTAATGACTTTGTTTGCCTCTAGGTGTTCGTTGATTCGTTGTTTGATTATCTTTTCCAGGATCTTCCCAGGTATTGAGGTCAGGCTGATAGGTCTGTAATTTCCTGGGTCCATTTTTTTTTCCTTTTTTGAGGATGGGAACTACATCAGCTCTTTTCCAGTCCTCTGGTAGTTCCCCTGTGCTCCAGGATCTTTGGAAAACATAGTTCAGTGGTTCAGAGATCACATTTGCTAGTTCCTTGAGAACCTTGGGGTGTAATCCATCTGGTCCTGGCGATTTGAACTCGTCTAGGCTGGACAGGTGCTCACTTACTATTTTCTTGCCTATCTTAACTTGTGTTTCTATTCTGTTTTTTATGGCACTATTTTGATAGGTTGGTCTGTTTGAGCACTATGTTTGACCTATGTTTGACCTCTATAGAGAATGTGAACCTTCCAACTTCACTATATGCCTTTAATACAAAATGTACAGAGAACAAGGCTCTACAAAATGTACAGAGAACAAGGCAAGTGGATGCTATCATTCTGCTACTTGTTTCAAAGACAGATCTACATATTGGGGCTATAAAAATTCAGAAGCTTATTTAACTGCAGCAAAGAGTTAGCTTTCTGTGTCTCTCTGCTGCCATCTAATAGTCCTCTGGAGTTTCACAGCCCATTGTGATTGCTGTAATAAAAAAGCAGTACAGTTAGGTCTCATTTTCTTCTCCTACCTCTCTCGACTGACATCTCCCTGTCTAAATTGATATCATATGCTATTTGGAATGGAAATCTACTCTTTTTGCTTTGTTAGTATACAAAATATCGTGCATATGTGTAGTACTAACCCATAGAAATCAATAAAGGACAATGTGGCTATCAGCAGAAGTTCATGATGACTGAATATATCTAGAAAGCTATTCTCCATTTAATGATGTAAATATAAACAGAAATTCACATCAGAAAGACAGAAAACTACTTACAATTTCTGTCTTTGTTCATTCATGCCAGAGAACTACTAACATTTATAAGAAAATCAAGGAGCCCTCCACAGCCTCTTTTCTCCTCAACAAGATATATATTATCCCTCATGGTATAAATCTACATGCCAACTGGATGGCAGTGAAAGAAGCATAGACATGTGTCTTTTAGCTGCCACCTACTGTTTGTCCTAAATTTTAGCCCACATTTGGTAGCTCTCATAAACAAAATCAATAATACTCATCAATCTTCAGACCAAAGCAAAGGCTTATATCCGTACAATTGTTCAAATAAAAGATTTGAACTTGAAAATATCTCATGGAGATTTTATATTATGTGGTAGTTCTTTTTATTTTTCTGCATAACAATCTTTCACAGGAGATAGGTTAGTTACTAGGACACGGGATACCAGCACTAGTCAAGATTGGTATAAGAGTAAGGAAGATAACCTTGACAGAAAGATACAATACTTTTTATCTAGGCAAAGGGGGCTGAAATATTTTATAAGTTCTGGAATACAAGATAATATTCAATAGATTCCTCTCTGATTCACTGAGTCATAAGAAGGCAAAAGAGGTATAGTATAATCAGATTTGTGTTATTGTAATCAACCTCAATAAAAGTAGTTTTAGCTTTCCAATGGAGATAACTTTTTGGTTTGGTCTACTTCATGTAGCTGACAATTGGGTTCACATTGATTAAAAATTCACTAAGGCAGCGAATCTAATCCAACTAAATATGGAAGGATAGCCTCCTTAAGTTATGCAAAATATATTTTAAAATGTCTCAAACCAGTGCAGTTCACAAAGATTCAGAATGAATTTTGCAGCTCCTGGTTCAGATAAATTACTAAAACATCTAACATTTCTCTCTCTGACTTGATAAAATATATGTAAATTCTCTCTATTTATTGAAAGTTATTTGTATATTACTTACTTTTAAAACATTAAGATACCTTACAATTCTAAAACAAAAAACATCAATAAAACCAGTTAGCAATTAACCATAAGAGATGGCAAGTTGTTCCAGAGCAAGGAGGCTATGATGAAGATCATCCACTACGACGGCATCTCTTATGTCCAAGAAGTGCAGACTCATAACTAACAGACTCTTGGTCTGTGCATATTGAGTGGACAGAGTCCACCTGGAATAGGAGGAACTAAAAGATAATTATAGGAAATAGTCAGCCCCTTGAATTTGTCCTGGAACAAAGTAGCAACCATTGCAGTCCCTGTAATATTATTTTGCTGTAGCTGGACAGCCACTTTCTGGATTATCTTCAAGTGCAGCTGCATGTTGAGTAAATGGCAACCACAACATGAGCATGACAAGCACATGAGTCCCTATAATGAGACCTTCCTGATCCAAGAAGTCACTGCTTGCAAATCATCAAAACTTGCTAAAGACCCTTCTGGCCAGTTTCTATCTGCCACTCCAGTGAGAGTCAGGAATCCAGGAGAACCCCGCCCCCAAACTGCAAACTTCCTCCTTCAGAAAGAGATCCATACTGTCCCTCATTAGAACTCTAGAACTCTGTTTATAAATAGTAGCTCAAATATTTCTGGGATTTATTCTGAGCCTGTCTCATCCAATCCCCTGCTGCCTCCAAGAACCTACCCAGCCATAAATTTTCTGCTTGGATTGAGAGGGAGATACATAGCTGGTGTAATGAGCATACCTCATTCCGCACTAAGAGATGACTTCCCTCCCCTAACCTGGTAAGTATGTAAAAAAGAATGAGGGAGAGGGGCAAGTCCTGGAGCAATTGACTAAAACTACCCACTTACAAAGGAACAGAACCATTAAAGAAAATTTATTTTGAGGCACCCCAAAAGACACTCACTTGATACTGAATGTTGTTTGAGATCTAAGACGAGAATGTCCCCCACTGAGGCCTTGCCACAAGGTCACCAAAAGAACAATCAATAATTTTTTTATCTCATGTGTATTTGAACTCAGACTGGACCACTGGCTCTTTCAAGGCCTTTGGCACCACCCTTTTTCTCTAGGAAGTATTCACCACCTCCTACCCCCAGTATCTCTTCCCCTTCTCTGGCAACTCTTACCAGCCAGAAGGGGTAAGAATATGGACCACAACTTAGAAGAGCTCACTCCACATATCTCTTCACTCAAGAGACTTATTTTGTTAAGACATCACTCCTGTCATCTTATGTGACCCTGCCCATTTGCATCCAACTCTGCATGAATAGGAGCAATTTTATCTGCAAAATGTGTAATGAAAAAGGTCATAACATCAGAGATAGTAGGAGGGATACATAAAATGAAGGAAAGTATAGTCAGTCTAATAAAACAGCCATAAAAGATTTGAAACAAACAGTTCTTCCATGGATGACTGACAGGGCTTAAATGTGATTTTATGGTGATTAGTCCAAATGAAAGTGTACATTTTGCTTATTTTTGAAAGAGTGATGCGTTGTCTTCCTTGTATTCTCAAGGCAAAGCCTTACTAATTCATCCATTAGTAATTATTGAGGTAATTACAAGCAACTGCTCTAAACTCACACTTTCTCTATTTCTCTCTTTCTTTTAACAGTTTAAGGCTTCCTCTTTTAGTCATATTAGATTATCTTATAAAATATCTAAAAAGTATGGATTTGTAACACAGATCTGGAGGACAATGAGCCCAAAAACTGTTAAACCACAAACCCCAAAATTAAAGATGTGGTTAGGCAATAGGAATGGCAGTTCTTCAAACACTTGTCTTCTTGGTTTAAAAAAAAAAAGCGACATCAGAATTTCAGAATGTATTTGTAATTGTACATTTACTATTGCTCTTATAAAAAGGTATAAGTTGATAAGCATAAATACAATAGAGGATGGTTGTATTTACCACTTTTAAGGGCAAAGTTATTATTTGGTTTGCTAGCAAGAGTTAAAAAGAAATGAAAACAAACTCCTTTGAGTTTATATGAAAACAGTATGAACAATATTCCTATTATGGTATGTGTTATGCAATTTAGCACAGGCAGAGTTTTTTTGAATTAATTTTTTGAACAATTTGTTTGGAGAGTAAAAATCATACAATTTAAAGAAGAAAAAGGAAAGTGATAAATAAGAAATACAAAGAGAAAAGATATGAAGATATAAAGAAGCAGCTTCCAATACAGCTGTTATTTTTATCCTCTCTATGTATAGTTAGCAAAAACTCTATAAAGGGTTTCTATTCACTAACAAATGTTATTGTTCTCTTTTTCCCTACTCAAACAAGTCAATTTTGTCATCTCTGCAAATTCTGTCATCTTTACCAACCATTTCTCCATTATGAGTATTTCAGAGTCTATCTTTGTGTATACAATATAATAATCTAACTATGCAGTTACTATGTACCAAAAACTTCTATAGGTCTTTTCTCATTGTCTATCCATTCATCTGAGCAAAAAAGGTCTGCCTTCAGTTGATTAATATATAAATTTCTTTGTATCACTGTGTTTTTGAACCCAACGTTTTCTAGCTTTCCTACAAGCATGATAAAATGACAGTTCATATTTTTCACATTTCTGACATAAATTAATATGAGAGAAAGTGGCAAGAAGGTGACAAGCAACCGGGAGAAAGCAGAACTACTTAACTCATTTTTTGCACCCGTCTTTACACAACCTATCAAAACAGCACCGTAAAAAACAGATTAGAAGCACAAGTTAAAATAGGCATGGAGCCTGCCCATTAGAGTCATAGGTCGCACAGTCATAAAGCAGCACACTTATTTGTCCAACTCAATTTTATGACCAGTTTTGTGGCAGGCATAAAGCAAATTCTGTTGTTCCTGTTGTTCAAACTCATTGTTTGCTACCATATGAGGTATTTTTGCCAAAAACAGAAGTAAATTGGGATCACATGACACAAGGTGCTGCAAACAGCTGTAAACAGCTGTAAACACAGACCAGTTGCTGAGTGTTTGAAATGTGGTCATTCAACTGGGGGGGGGGGCATAAGGACTTTGGAGCCAGGTTGTACATAGTGTTTGGAGGAGTCTATCTTAACTTTGAACAGTTGCTGTAATTGTTTTGAACACTTCTTCTGCAAGAATCAAAAACTCTGGCAGGATTTGTATATAGTACTTAGCCATTTTTATTTTTTTCAGATTTTTTTATCCTGACTTTATTATATTTATAGATAACTCAGGGCAGCAAATATAGCTAATACTCCTTCCTCCTTCTATTTTCCCCACAACAACCACTCTGTGAAGTAAGTAGAGCTCAAAGAGAGTGACTGGCCCAGCTGGTTTTCATGTCTAATGTGGGACTAAAATCTCTTGGTTTCTGGCCTGGGACCTTAACCGTTAGATCAAAGTGGCTCTCAATATACATTGCTTATTTTTGGTTTAACAATCATGTCAGGGAATTGCGCAGCTGATGTCCAAATGGAGTCAGAGACACTGACACGAACCAGTTTTATATAAATATTTACAGTAAACAGGATAGGCAGACAGGAGCATCATCAGGTAAATCAGCACAGCAGGAATATTAGAAGGCAAATTAGAGAAGCACAGCAGAGAAAAAAGGCGGGAAACAAGGAAACTCCACCTTTACTCTCACAGCAACCAGTTACAGCTCAGATTCCCTCATACAGTGGCCAGCTCTCTTTAACCAATTAGCTATAACTACCATATGTGTTTATTCATTGTCCAACTGTAAGGACCCGCTTCATAACCTCATCCCAAGAAAGCAGGACTCTTGGAACAATTCCATTCCAAAAGGAACTTTTACGAGGAGAAGCTGACAGCAGGCATAGAAGGCAGCATCAGATCAATAGGTTAAAGGAGCATCAAGCAAACCCCATCCCAATAGTTCATCCCGTCAGTTCAAACGGGCCAATCCCTAGGTGTTAGGTCCACTGTGGGAACGGAGCTAATAATGGAGTCCCTTCCCATGCCTATGAAGACATTGTTGGGGACTTCCGGTGGCAGGCGTCTTCGTCGGTCGCAGCTGTTTGCTGCCTCCCGCCTGTTTCGCGTAAAAGCCGGTTTGACAGCTAGCATCAGCTGTCAAACGGCTTGATACCTTTCCCCTGGGCATAAGGGGATAGGTGAGCTGCCCGGGGTAGGAGTTGAGTTCCCGAGTCGTCCTATATGGACGATGTAGGTGA